TAATCGGTCGCCACCCGCAGCAGACATGGCGGCGTCTATGGCACAGCGCAGCTTATCTTCAAACATGGTGTTTTGCTACGCCCCAGTGCTGTGTTTTCCGCCTGTGAGCAGAACTGGTCGCGGCGGCGGACTGGAGGCCCACCTCCCATTCACGGCGCCAGCGGCAGGGGCCTAGCAACAGGCTGTTCGAGAACCTGCCCTCGTGGGTCACGTGACCGGTGCCGGTCGGCCATCCCTGGGTCACGTGAGATGACCGATCTCGATCAGCGATATAGACAGGATGGCCTGAGAAAGCTGTCCCACAGAGAGGGCGAACGGACGCACCTGGTAACAGGATTCGGAGACGGTTGGTCCGGACGCCCGAGATAGGCAGGGTGGTGGGAGAAAGGGAGGAAAAAAGAAGAAGAAAACAGATAGGCAGCATAAAGACATGTGTGAAAAGAAAGGGGTCGAAATAGGAACGCTAGGAACCTGTGAAGTTATGATCGATTACCATGGGTGTCGATTTGTATACCTTTGGGGGTGCTGCAGCACCCCCAATGCTCAAATGAGCACCCCCAATGGTTTTCCGGGCACCCCCAATGGTTTTGTCCCTCAATAACTCTGCTTGAGGAAAATAATTGTTCTGCAGTAGTTCACTACTAAAAATAAAACAATTACGCAACTTACAAGGCATGAAATAAAGATGTAAAGAAAAGAAAATTTAGATTTAAGAAGAAGGGCGAAAAAAAACGTTAAGTTGCAAAGATGGTGTGGGTCCGTCGTACACGGGTGTCGGACCCTTAGAGCTGCTGGCGCGTACCCTTTACAAGCCGGCAGGGGGCTCCAGAGACCGGCGACGGGCCCTCAGAGGCCGGCAAAGGGTCATCAGAGGCCGGTGGTATGTACCTTCAGAAACCCTGTGGAGTCATCTTTAGAGACCGGAACGGGCTCAGGCGCTGATGGGGCCCTCAGAGTCGCCGGTGTGGGGCCTTCAAATGTCACCGGTGGCAGGGTGGCCGTCACATGCGCACTTGTGGGGCCTTCAGAAGCTACGATGTTGGGCCCTCAGAGCCGCCGATATAAGGCCTTAAGAGGCACTAGTGTGGGGCCCTCAGATATGGCAATGTGGGGCCCTCGGACTGGAGGCGCCGGTGTGGGGGCTCTCAGAGACACTGGTTTAGGGCCATCACAGGCGCGCGTTGGGCCCTCAGAACTGCTGTTACGGAACGGATCCTTCATAGGCCGACAAGAAGATATCAAGAGGTCACCGGTGCCTTCAGGAGAGGGAGCATTCATTCTGGCCAGGGTTCATAATGTCCAGGGTACGCTATGCCCAGTGTCAAAATGGCCAGTGCCTTGAATGGGCCAGAGTTCATAATGTCCAGGGATTGCATGGTCCAAATGTGGCCAACTGGCTGCAGATAGGGTATATTCAAAGAGGCCAGGGTTCATAATGTCCAGGGAACGATGTGTCCAGTGTTCAAAATGGCCAGAGTTCATAATGTCCAGGGCACGATGTGTCCAGTATTCGAAATGGCCAGGGTTCATAATGTCCAGGGCACGATGTGTCCAGTGTTCAAAATGGCCAGTGCCTTGAATGGGCCAGAGTTCGTAATGTCCAGGGATTACATAGTCACTGAAAGTGACGTCATTATGTAAAAAACACGGAATCAGCTCAATGCAAAGCAGTGCAGTGCCGAAGGCAATGCCTTAGGAGAGATTACAGGCAATAGTAAATCAAATATTTTTAGGTTAAGTGGTTATGTATTTCCTTATCTGCCGGAACCTAATTAATTATAATTTCCTTAATTTAATAATTTCCTTAATAATTTCCTTAAGCCGGAACTATTTCCTTATCCCTGGTAGGCAAACATCATTACCTTAGGTTAGGTTAGGTTAGGTTAGGTTAGGTTAGGTTAGGTTAGGTTAGGTTAGGTTAGGTTTGGTTGGGTTGGGTTGACTATGTAATCCCTGGACACTATGAACTCTGGCCCATTCAAGGCACTGGCCATTTTGAACATTGGACACATCGTGCCCTGGACATTATGAACCCTGGCCATTTCGAACACTGGACACATCGTGCCCTGGACATTATGAACCCTGGCCATTTTGAACACTGGACACATCGTGCCCTGGACATTATGAACCCTGGCCTCTTTGAATTTACCCTATCTGCAGCCAGTTGGCCACTTTTGGACCATGTAATCCCTGGACAATGTGAACACTGGCCAATTCAAGGCACTGGCCAATTCGAGCACTGGACACATTGTGCCCTGGACATTATGAACCCTGGCCTAAATAATACGCACCCCTTCAGGAGCCTTGTGGGGTTCTCAGAGACTGGCATGGTGCGCTCAGACGCCGCTGGGACCCTCCGTGTCACCTGTGTGGGGCCGTCAGGGTCGCTGGTAACTGTCAAGGGCCCTCAGAACCGCCCATGTAGGGTTTTTAAAGGCATTGGTATAGGGCCTCAGAGTTAGGGGTGTGGGGCCCTCAGAGACACCGGTGTGGCGCTCAGGGGCGCCGGTGAGGGCCCTCACAGTCGCCGTTATAGGGGCCCTCAGAGAAATGGGTGTGGGGCCATTACAGGCGGGTGTGCAGCTCCTAGAGCTGGCCCCCTAGAGGCCGGTTAAGACCCCCAGAGGCCGGCAAGTGGCCCTCAGAGGCTGGCTTGGGGCCCTTATGGAGATCTTAATGTTAGTACTTTTGGGCCCATGAGGTGTTCTTACGAGCCCTGTGGGGCCCTTCTGAGTCCAAATATAGCCAACGTGGACCCTCAGTGGCCAATTGGCGCCGCAGTGCCCCTCAGGCCCGAATAATCCGATGGGCCCCTGAACCTGATGGGGCGGGGGGGGGGGGGGGGGCTCACGGGCCCACCTGGCTACGCCACTGAGGAAAATCGTAAACCCATAAATATCGAATTGCAATCACCTGTTATTTTTTTCAGCGATTATTGTGATCGTCTGATCACAATAATCGCTACGAGTAAATATAGCTTTAATAAATATAGCTACGAGGCTCTGAGGCCAGAGCCTCGTAGCTATACCGTTGCCTCCCGCGCAATGTCCGCCCCTGCGGACCGCAGGGGCTGCTGCACCGGTGCTAATCGCGGTCATCGGTTTCTGTCACCTTATTACAGAGGTGTCGGGGCTGCTGCCGAGCTGCCGGCAAATGTACGCGTTTTTTTCGGAAAGATGTTTATGTAATGAGGTAGCCAAGTACTAGGACGAGCAGAATGATTTTGAAGAACGTTCAACCTTTGGGAAATATTAGTGGAAATCCCGGGATTATCAGTACCTTATGGGGATACACAACCATGCCTTGTAGGTACGGTTGTGCCCCATGGCAAAGCTACAATCTTTCACCCGGTGCAGGGGTTGAGCACCCCCAACCATTTTGAAAAATCGACACCCCTGTCGATTACTCTCCATAAATTTAGTAATTGAATTTTGTCACGGTTCCTGTTCAGTTTCATTATCTTGAAGAATCTTGGTTTCATCCATACTTTTCATTTTGCATTAAAGCTGCCTCAAAGTCGAGCCTTCTTATTCAAGCCCCTGATCCTCCACATGATGCTGATCGGGCTGATCGGACTTTGAGATGAGTGTCCCTTCTCGTATGATTACATCCTTGATCCTATTATTTAGGCAGTTATTATAACTACCTAAACTAAATAGTAAATACCTATACTATCTAAACTATGAAAGTATAATATGAAAGTCGTTTTTGGAAATTATTTTTATTGCCTACATATTTTAAATTAAAAAAGTCTTTAATCAAACATTCGCGTGCATTAGTTGGGGACACCTTTTGAATATTCAGCACGTGTCTGTTTGCCTAGTTCACAAGAGATAATACCTACGCGTTCCACCAACTGCTGCAAAACTGTTGCACGTGTTGTACAGCTGGCTGTTGATCCGGCAGTGCATCATTGTACCCTGGTTGAAGACCCTCTGGCTGATGTCAAGTCTACTTGGTAGTGCTACGGGTGTGTTGGTCTCTGCGCCAATTTGTATTATAATCTATTTGACCTATAGATTGTTGTAAAGGACCAAGAAGAAGCAGAGGATTACGTTCTACGTCTTCAGGTAGGTAAGTGCTTTCCCGCCCTCTTTACCTAAATCTAGCGCTGCTCGTTTCCAAAACTGCAGCTCGTCGAAGCCGGAAAGCAACTGAAAAAAATATGAGAAGCGTACCCCAATAATAGTTTTAATTCGCGCATCCGGAATCTTTGTGGCTCGTTACTTGGTTGCAAGCTGTGACAATGAAGCAATCCAAGCTCCATGCATTATGCAAGCCCATTCGTCTGCCGAAGCTTCCAATGTTTCCGTTCTACAGGTGAGCCGTTCTGCTGTGGCTCTTCGCGCCGGTCTGCGCGGCCGGCTCAAACCGGTTCTTACCGGTATGGCTAGAGGCGGCCGATCGTCGGCTTATGAATGGCGATTTGTTTAGTTCGTAGCTCGGCCGCACAGTGGGAAGGACGGCGACTTGGATGGACCCTGAGCTCGCTGTCTTTTAGGGAGGTTTCTGTGGTGTGTGTCCATAAAGGACAGGTCTATATCCTGGTCTCTGTCTATGTGTTGTGTGCCCCGCGCTGCCGGGCGGACGCTGGAGCCCGACGCGGGCCGCGGGTGATGTATTGATCCTGTTCACCGACCGTGGGCCGCGGCTGCGCGCTGGTCGGGACGGCCAGGGTCCCCGGCCGCTGACCCAGTGGCGGCTTTAGCGGCGCCGCGGACCGTGCCAGGACCACCGGACCATCGTGGGGACCACTGGACCGTGTCACCGAGATCCCGACCGTTTCGTTGACCCCAGCAGATCTGCCAGATTCCAGTAGATTCCGGATTCCGACACATCCACTGCACCCGTCACAGCAGACTCAGTGATCCGGGAAGCCCTACGGAGCCCGACCCCGCTCTGTCTGATCCCTGTCGGGTTCCTGACCGGTCCCTGTCTGCTCCCTGCCTGCTCCCACCCCGCCCGGTCCCTGCCCGGTCCCTGCCTCCCTGGCCGGCCCGCTAGGATGGACTGCGCCGGTGGCTCGCGCGCCCCGGCCGCCGCCGCTCAGTGCCAGTGTGAGCTGGTCGGCGCAGCGCTCGGCGCCTCCTCGTGCTCCGCTCCCAGACGCAGCTGACCGAGCGGCCCCGGACCGACCTGACCTGACCTGACCTGGACAGCATGGAGCCGCGCACCGAGCCACCGTCGCCCGGACACCCCTGGGACAGACCAATCGTAAGGACGCCCGCTGGCGCACATTAGTCCCCCTCCTTTCACACAGGTGCGCTTATAAAACATCCCTGTTGCCAGCGCCCGGCAGCGTTGTTCTGTTTTCTTGTGTTGTTACTGTTCTTTCAGTCCCTGCTTACTGATCAGATGTTCCCTTTTGGAAGTTTAGAGCATTGGTTTGTTGTGTTTTAGGGTGTTCTGCATTTGAGCTTCGTTACCTGTCACATGGCTATATGTTAACGGGTTTTAAGCCATTTTTCTAGTCTGTGCTGTGCTGTGTTATGATGAGATATACCTACCTAATAACTACGTGCTGTGCTGTGATGCGTCTTCTAGCGAGGCATGAATAGGTTCTAGTTTTTAGGTTCTATTGTGCCGTCATGTTGAGTCTTTTCGGGGGAAAATTGATATCTACCTATTAAGAATTCAGACAGCCACCTATTTAGGTATCTGTTCTAAGACGTCATCTGGTTTTATAGGCGCGTTTCTTCGCTGTGCTCTTCTGTGTTACACCATACCCATTGTTTTGAGCTGTACCGTGCGGCTGCATGTGCAGCCGTTACTCGTTCAGCGTTAGATCGCCTGCCTCCGACCAGTGCCGCGCCGCTCGCCAGTCTCTGTCGAGCTCTAGACCTGGACACGGTGATTGATGGAGATTGAACAGAGCCGCCGTCTCGGCCGGCGGCGGCGGCGCCTGTAACGGCGCCCGTCAGGGAGCGCCGGTGCCGGTCCGAGCCCTGTCACGAACCGGGGCATCTCACTAGAGCGCAGTTCACCGATCGATGGACTAACGAACCAGCGGACTGACATACACGGTGGTTCACAAAGTCCGCCGTGGAGCGGGAAACCGCCGATAACCGGTGACCTCCAGTTCCGGATCTATCTGGAGCCCGCTCGGAATGGTGCACACGGCACCCATTCCTGGACATCAGGGGCCAGTAGTTCAGCGGCAGCCGTTCCGGGCATTAAATGCCCTGTCCATTTTCGGCGGTAACATTTGTTCGCTCGTTGAGCTCGGATCATCGGTCGAGGTAGGCCTTGCATCCGGTTAGAGACGCCGAGTGGGCGGGCTCACAGCTCACATAGAGTCCCTGACGGCCTCACATAGAGTCGCTGAGTGTTGAGGGCCGGATAGAGTCACTGGGATAGGCGGGTAGAGTCGCCGAGTGAATCGGACTGTGACCGACGAGGCCAGAACCGACGTCGTCTCTATACGTTCTGCAAACTTCTGAGAAATTGACGGTTGAAACACGACTGGATGGCGCAGTTACCATACCGATTCGGACTGTATGTAATATTGCAATGTATTATATCCTAAAATAATTTGACTTACGAAAAGCTTGAGGTTATTGCTTTTATGTGATTGGAAAATGGTTATATTTGAATGTAGAATAAAGAACTGTTCAACTGAGGTAATCCCGTCTTCGCAATCTCATCCAAACCAGTTATATCTCGTGGCGCATGACTCTCCGCTTCTCTCGAGAAACTCGATAGCGCATCTGTTTACTCGATTGGACAAACAGTTGGATTTCCGTTACTCAATGCATTACCACATGCCTACGTCACCAACGGAGACCGACATAGCGTCTTCCTAGCATAGGCGGCACCTTGATCGGTGACCTTTGTGACCAATGACCGGTGACCAATTATCGGCGGTGACCTCGATGTCCAATGACCGGTGACCTCGATGACCGTTGACGCAATAGGACAACATCAGCGATGGGGACTGGCCAAATGACCGCGGTCCTTGGCTCCCCGCCCCCACCTCCTCCCCTCCCCGACTCCCCCTCTGGCAGGCCTCGGGTGACATTCCTTCCCCCTCCCCTCCTTGGATGTCAGCAGGACCCTTTTTACGGTGTGTTTATCTACCTGTTCCGCGACCGGGGCAGGCTTGGCATCGTTCACTCGGAGTGGGAGGGGGAGGGGGCAGTGGACGCCCCCGCCTGTCACTCTAATGGCTGGTCGATTCTGTTTGACCTTTCCGCGCCCTAGAGGTGAAACGCACTGCTTTGTTATTCACCCTTCAGAGTTGATTAATGCTGTAATATGTCGAGAGAAGTTAGACTCGTTTCATCGTATACGGATTACGGTAAAGATTACAGCTGTGAAGATAAGATACAGTTGCAGAGCTGCAGATAAATGTCGAGGGTTAGTGTGGCTGTACCCTGTTGAGTGATGCAGCGGCGTCCCTGGGTGCCTTACTCTGCTGTTTGTATAACCCTCTGCGCGGAGTGGGAGGAGGGACTGACGCCTGGCCGCTGTTTGGACAGAGGACCTGTGCAACGTTCTGCAGCCGCGCTGCCGACGAAGGACCGCCGCCGCGGCGGCGATTCAAATATTTACCGGTTCCTCGTGCGTCCTGGCTATAAAGCTGGCAGTTCATGCAGTCAACGCTGCGATAGCTGCGCAAGGTCGTCCGTGGCACCGGCGGACAAAGGATGGTCCGCTGGTGGGGTAAAAAATGGCCGCAGCTGGCAACAAAGGAGGCCCGAGCTCTGTGCTGCACCTGAGGGCAATTTTAGTTGCATTCAAGCGACGCAGTTGTGTTAGGTGCGACGCGCAGCGTGCGTTTCGGCCAGATCTATCTCATTCACCTGGGGGGAGTGTGAATTTCTGAGGTCTGCTCAAGCTTGCAGGTCGCACTCCGATCCGGCCGACCAGCTTCTCTCAGACCTTTGTTTGTTCGAATGTCGTACCGTGAGTACGGCACCGCCACTGGTTACGACTGTGTAAACGGGCCACCTTCACTGCCCGTTGTATTTACGAGTCCCTCACAAACACTGTCATCCATTCATGGGCTGTCCGAAGCTAGGAGGGACGGCTGTTACAGAAATATTTGCGTTGTGGTTGAATAGGAAGGGGTTTGATTTGAGAAGGCATGTGAGACATTTGAGAACGTGGAAAGGGGCTACGGTGCCAGTGTAATATGCAGAAACGGAGGTAGTGCTGTTCTTCGAATAGCGAGTGATATTCAAAGGATCAGACAAAGCTCATAACATTCAGTGAGTTGCGGAGCTATTGCCTAACTTGGATATCAACCAGTGGCTCAAGAGCTACTTAAAACGAGTGCCACTATCAATCAGAATTCAGAGCACCAAGCAGACCTCATTCAGCTCCCGTCAACAGTTTTGAAGCGATGCAGCGATAGTAACCGCTTTGCACCCTGACAGGGTTGGTGACAATCTGTTCCTCGGCTCTCAAGTACTGCGTCCGTGTTTCGAGGGCCACTATAGATAGCCGTCGAGGCGGCGTCACCCCGTCACGTGTCGTTAGTCTCTGCCGTCACGTGTCATTTTCATCTGTCACGCGGTGCGGTGTGTCACAGAGTGTTCCGGACAGAGATGGTACGGTTACGAAACGGCGAGTTGTCCGCGGCGGCCAAACATCGTAAAACGAACTCTGGCAGTCCGCGATGTGGCCATCTTCTGCGCCGCAGCCCTCTGGATTCGGCTGGAGAGTCAGATCGGGCGCTGACAGGCGGCAGGACAGCCCAGTGTGATGACCGCGTCCGAGGCTGACCCGTGACCTCAGTGACCTCTCCGGCGTACCGTCTGTGACCTCGCCGTCACCTAACGGTACCCGCCGCCCGCCGCTGCAGACGCCGCTGCTAAGGCAATAAGGCATGTAACATGGAGCTGACTGACGAATGGTCGCCGAATATTCCGGAGCTATCTGGTCGGGCGCACTGGGCTATCTATCAGCTACAGTGCACGTGGTTCGTGCACGTGCGTGGTGCACGTGGAGTGTGCAGACGCCCGTTCATGCTACTGCAGACGTCTCAAGGACGAGTCGTTGACTGGGGCTGCCAACCCGGACCGACCGTCTGTGGTCTTCCCGCTGCCGCGCAGAAATATCAGATGAAGTTAAATAATTACGCCTATGCCGCTATGGCTACTAGCCGGATATGGATGACTAATCAACTTTAAATTAACAAACGGTTCCTATTCTATAATAAAATACGTGAAATTTTGTACAGGACGTTTACATTTTCACGTCATCATCAGAAGTTATTATCAGCGTAAGGATAATCTCCGATGGCATCTGAGGCATCGGACATGGTACGAAATTGCGCAGCACTCGTCTGAGAGTGGGTTTCCCGATGTGTCTGGACCGGCAACGTTCGCTGCGCCACTGTCTGCCCTTGCTGAGAGGACCACTGATGAAAGGGACCTACGTCTCCCGTATATTCGTAGCACGTTGCGCCACGCCCGTACCGGCGAAAAGCGGCTGGTCTGGCCAGCCAGCCTGGCCCACTGGGCGCCACTGCGCTGACCCGGGGGCCGTACTCCGGGGTGAATCCTACGGCGCGGGTACGGGCTTGGGATGGAGCATTTGAAGCAAGACGAATGCGTTTATGTTTCACTCAAGGAACTTGCGTGTTGCACGAAAGTCGAGCCATTATTCTCGTTCATTTAGCTAATCGAGCTTCTTTGATGCTTCTGACCCAAATGAAATTTTACGTATTAGTATAAAATGATTTTATTTAAATTTATTTCGTTCATCTGTCTCATTCGTTTCACTTATTTTATTTCATTTTGTCTGTGTCAGTCGTTTGAGCTAAATTCAGTGCTGCCTAATCTCTGTGGAATTTGGCCACGGGACCAGAGTTATAGCGACTGACCTGCATTTTATTTTTTTCACTTTGGGTCCGAGAGTGGGGTCATCTTTCATGGAATGAGGACATACATACGTCTGCTATAGATATTTGGGCTATGTTTTTCAATCGAGATTTATAGATTGCACGTTCCTGTAATATTCTTTCATTTTCAATTACGTGAGCCAGTTCGAAATTTAACCTATCTCCTTTCTTCATCAATCTTCTGGTGGCGTCCTCGTCGCATGTGTCTATATGCATCAAGTTGGTAATTGTTGTTTTGTCCGCCAATTCTGCTCAAAATATGTGTTTCTTCCATTCATCGGGAGCCACTTTTGTCTCCGTCCCAGAAACACACGCCATTATTGTCGTCGTCCCAGTAACGTGCGCCGTCTTCTGGAGCGGTCCTGCCTGCCGTCGTCGTTGGCTGGCCCGGTTCGACCGCTCCCGGCAGGTCGACAGGGGCCGGGTCGCCGCGCCGCCCTGTTAAAGCCGGCTGACCCGGTTGGCTGCCGCGCCGCCCTCCCACAGTGCCATGTGGGCTGGGTCGGGTGGCCGCCCTCTGCTGACCGCAGGGCGTTGGGAGGGAGAGAGCGACCCTTTTTACGGGGAACTAGCGCCTTGTTTACGAAATGAAGTGCTTCTTGTAAATCTGCAAGCTACGAGCACTGCTTTTCGGAATGGTTACTGGCATAACTGGAAGCCTTATAAAGCGCAATGATAATCTTGTTAGATCAACAGTCAACATAGTCGTACTGAATCGATGCCCTCACATATGGTATGAGAGAAATATATCTATGTTTTCTGTCCTTCAGCTGGCAGCTGCAATATTCTCATCTGAGTATGGGTTATACAGGCTGCAGTTGAGATGCCTGAAAAGACTGCGACGCACTGCCTACCGTGCTTACCGCCTGAATATAGACTGCGCCGCAGTGCGTGCCGCCCGTATTTAGACTGCGCCACATAACAGGCGGCCGAACATTTGTGCACAGACTGAATGTGTAGTATTTATTGAATCTTCAATGTTTTTACCATACCTTCAGTTATGCAACTACACAATATTTGTAACTACACGAGCTGTCAACCTCGCCATTAAGTTATGGCGAGGTAGTTAACTTTTGGACTACTGATAATTTGATCTACAAAAAGACGGCGTCTGCGTATCGTCTCGGCATTCTGTCGCTTATTTCGCTGTCCATTGGCCGCACCGACGCTGACCTGTGACCTCAGACTCCGTGACCCCCTCCCCCTCTCGGGACCTGTGTCCGCTGTCGTCGGGCCCGCCTGGGGTATCTCTGCGGCTAGGAACAGGACCCGTATCAGGGCGCGTATCATCCTACTGTGACCCCAAATTGGCCGCCCGGGCTGTCTGTCTGCGTCCACCAGAACTGTCAGACGCCGACGCTCCTGGCAGCGACAGGCGAACGGTGCCATGTGACCGGCCACGTGCTCGCCCCCCCCCCCCCCCCCCCGACACCCCCCCCCCCACCTCCGGGAGCGGGCGGCCAGACATGGCCCCCCATTGGCCGACGGGCCGGTTGCTATGGCGGACATACGCCCGGCCTTGAGAGGGTACTGCTGATTTCCTGATATACAGTGGTGATGGGAGTTGAACTGCGGTTCTGTCCAAACTTAGCCTCTCCCCGGCCGGCCCGTCGTCTGATGGGACTGATGACGTCAGCTGACGGTGCGTTTTTTGTGCTGTGACGTCAATAAAGCGCGTGATGGGGTGTGTGTTTGAAAAACAAAGTGTCCTTTATCGACCACGCAATGCCTCTCTGGGGAGGATGTTGACACAAATGAAGTTTGATACGTGGCAGTATACCGATGTGCACTCTACCGAAGGACAGTTTATAAATCCAGTGATGTTTGGACGGATGTTGTGCTGGGATAAATGCGTATACAATGACCCCGCCTCGCTGAAGTAATGGTCTGGTCGTCGATACGGTTATGTCACTGTCACACGCCATGTAAACATGCGCGTCTTTTTATTTTTTTATTTTTTTTTCGTTCCGCTGCGAGCGGATCATTCTGGGAGATTGTCTTGCCATAGTATTGAGCTCCTTTTGTTCCCCCTCTCCCCTCCTAAAAGAAATGTGCCCCCGGTACCCCAAGCCGTTCAAGAACTACGACTAACAGAACTGCACAGTGGCAGTGCACATCATCTGTCGGACACGACGTTTCCCGTACACCTTTTTATCCTATAGTTTTCCAAGAGGGATAGTTACGCAGGATCTGTGCTGCACTTTTGCAATGCTCCCCGCTCTTCCTTCTCTCCTCAGGTGCCCACGTCTGAGATGCTCGGGACCGGCGCTGCCCGCACCCCTCTGACCCCGCTCATCCCTCTTTCGTCAGGTACCCACGTCCGAGATGCTCTGTCCTGCTCCGCTGCTGTTGTTAGCCTGTTGGTCTGCAGTCCTCTGACCCGGCCCCTCCCTCTCTCGTCAGGTGCCCACGTCCGAGATGCTCGGTGACGACGCCGAGGTCGAGCTCAAGAGGAAGGTGCCGGACGCCCTCGTCTTCGCCGATGACGAGTTCGTGCCGGCGCTGCTACGTAACCTCAACGCCATGCGCAAAAACAACCAGTTCTGTGACGTCATCCTGCAGGTGCGTGATGCCGCTAATTGTCTTAATGAGGTTGGACAGGTTCTGCTGCGGCCAATTAGGTGCTTTGGTGTGAATTGGAGTTTTGACTGGTTACCCATGCTGACGCTGAAGACGTATTCGAATACGTTGCTGACGCTGACTTCACAGACATTGATTGACGCACGCGTTTTTACGCTCCTTGTACCCATGACTTGCACTATGTAGTGGACAGTGGGTAGGTGCTTGACACTGTCAACTATTTATTTGAAGTGCTGAAATTCCATCCTCTATCACATCTGAGTAGAAATTGTTGGCTGATAATGATCGATCCCTCGTTGGCGCTGCCGCCACCGAGTTCACGACGAATAGGTAGGAAAAAAGGAGGGGAGAAAAAAAAAATATGGAGTAGGTCCCTGTGTCGCGCCGTCACTCCTCTCCTCTCGCGGTCGCGGCCGCTCCCCGACTGAGCTCCCCATGTTATTGCCCGCCCGTCGTGTTTGCGCGCGTCCGTCCCCCGGCTCAGTGCCGGCTGGTCGCGGCTGGAGCCCTCAACGGGTCTTATCGGCGGCGGCCGATAAGACGGTCATTGAGGTCTCCGGGCCGGCGCACCGCCGGCGCCCACTATACGTGCTTTGGCTGATAATGATCGATCCCTCGTTGGCGCTGCCGCCACCGCCAAACCCGCCAAACGGAGAACCCTTCGCAACATAGGGCAATCGACACCCCGGAAACACCAGGGCAGCGTGACTCGCTGGATCTCGTTCTTGTGCTCAACATGAAGTTGCAAGAGTGTCTTTCGAAATGGCTAGAAGCAGATGGCTGGCCAGCTTTATGCAAACGACACAGCTATATATAAGTAAAGGTGATAATAGCATGTGGGATGCCCAAGCAGATTCCTAAAGCGCGGAATACCTAATAAGCATGAACATTACGGTCACTTGGGTGAAACATCAATAAACCAAATCGTTCAAACGCCATCAGCACGTTCTTACGTGTAACCGCCTGGGGATATCCAGTGATACGCCGTAACTCGCGGGACAAGGAAAAGTCCGCTACTTGGGACGTCACACGACGAAGCGGCTCGCCGAGGGACACGCTGACACAGGGCAGGCCACGCCGCCGACCTGACCTAACCCACCAGGGCATTGTCGAGCGGACCCCTGCTAGACCAAGTCACCGAACGGACCGAACATGCCAGGCCCCGGCCGCCCGGACCTTGTCAGGTCACGCCACTCGCCGAACCGCCCGAAGTTCCCAGGTCGGTCGCCGTCCGGGCCTCTGCCAGGGCACGTCACCGGACTAATCTAACTCCAGTTAATGGCCACGCCACTCGCCCCAGGTCATTGCCGTTCGGACCCCTGCCAGACCACGCCACTTACCGTACGAACTGACCTTACACTTCAGGTCATGTCGAGCGGGCAAGGCCATGTCACCGAACCGATCCAGATTCCAAGGCATGCGGTCCGGACCCCTGTCAGGCCACGCCACTCACTGAACGGACCTAACTCCCAGGTCAGTCGCCGTCCGAGCTCCTGACAGGTCATATCACTCACCCAACTGGCCTGACCTACCTGATCATACGCCGGTCGAACCTCTACCAGGTTACGTCACCGAACTGACCTAACTTCCCCCGACCTCCTTGTCCCAGACCACTGGCGTGTTCCAGGCCTCCACCCCCGGGCGATAGATCGGAGCGGGTACCTACCGTCTCAACAGCCGTAATAGGCGCCGCTCTCGTGCCGCTGTCCCATCTCCTCCCCCCCCTGGCCGGCCGAGCCCAGCGAAGGCACGCCGCGTTGGGCCGCGGTGCCGCCTGGGGCGCTCCGTCGCTCCCCCTACAGGCATATGACGCTCGTTCCGAGCCCGCCGAGCCAGCCGGCGGGCGCCGGCCCGAAGTCCGCAGCTGTATGGGACACTCCAAGTCAGTCACGTGACACCCCCCGCCAGGCGCGAGGTGCCCAGACGCGTGCCCCAGAGAGTGTCCCGACCGACGCCGAGGGCCGACCTGCCGTAAAAGGGGCCAACGGTCATAACCAGCTGTAAGCGGCGGCCCGCTCGCGTCACCGCTGCCCGTTGACGCCCAGCGGCCGGCGCTGGGCCAATGAGAACAACGATCCCAGTGCCGGCGGTGCTCCGCCCGCCGCCTCGGCGCTCCCACGACGCGGCCGCTAGGAGGGGGGGGGGGAGGGGCATCCCGATCGCTAAGGCCGAGCCCACGGGCGATGAAGGCATCTCACTGCTGCCAGCGGCTGCTAGGTACTGGCCGCTGCCAGTCCCTCCGACTCATAACATATGTCTAGGGGCACATCACTGTTACACGGGGGCCACCCATGGCCGGGAGCCCGGCCCACCCGCTCGCCACCGCGACGGTCCGTATTGTCTCAGGACTGTCATACTCGTCCCGCCTTCCCCTCCCCCCGGGCCCCCCTCCTCCTCCCGGCCGACCGTCCAAGCCCAACGAGGGCGGCGACCCCGCCGAGCCGCCGCGCCGCGGCCGACCCGGCGCGGCGGTCGCCCGACGGTCATATAACACGTCCCGCGCCGCCCCGGTCGGCGCCGAATACGGCCTGCCATAAAAGGACACCGTCGCTCATAAACCAGCTGTGGACACAAACCAGCGGATCCCGAGACGGTGACACGCCGTCTGCGGCGTGCCGCGCCCGTGGTGGACGCCCGCTTGCGCCGCAGCCAGCGTCCGCCGCTGGGCCGCTCTGGCCGGGTCGTGTGAGAATTATCCCCCAACCCACTCGTCGGGTCAGTCACTATTCTGGCGCAGGCCAGACCAGCCGGTAAGCCACCACGGCCAACCCGGCAGCCACCGGCCGGTTGGTCATCTGGCGTTACCAGGCCAGCCGCCTCAACCGATCCATTACCACGTAAAGCTGGGGCGCTATCCGATCACCCGCCGCGGTGACCTATGGCCCGCTCGCCCACCGGCCGGACCAGTTCCCAGGTCAGGGCCGATGCGACCGCTGCCAGGCCACGCACCGAAGTGACCTAACATTACCAGGCCATGTCGCTCAGACCCCTCCGTGTCGCCCGCCGTACTGACCTCTCATTCCCAGGTCCGTCGCCGATCCGGCCCCTGCCAGGTCTACCGAACTGACCTAACAATCCCAGGTCAGTTTTCGAGCCCGTCTATGGCAAGCCACGCGCCGCTGAAGTAACATTTCTCTGTAACCGGCCTCACCGAACCGGCCTCAGCCCGAACTGGCCTCCGCCAGGCGTCGTACCGAACTGACCTAACATTCCCAGGTCCGTCGCCGAACCCAAGTCAGTCACCGAACCGTTCCGGCCGAGCCGGCCTCGCCGAACCGGCCTCTGTCCGCACCGGCCTCTGCCAGGCCTCGCGCCGAGCTGACCTAATATTCCCAGGTCAGTCGCTGAACCGGCCTCGCCAACCGGCCTCTGTCCGCACCGGCCTCGCCGAACCGGCCTCTGTCCGCATCGGCCTCACCGGACCGGCCTCACCGAACCGGCCTCTGTCCGCACCGGCGCCGTCACTCCGCCGCGCCGGCGACTGTCGCAGCTAACGCAGGCAAACACCCCCGGGCCGGTCCGAGTGCCCGTCACCCCGGGCCGGTCCACAGCGCCCGTCCAAACAAGTCGGCGGGCACCCCCGCCGACGCCCCAGAAACCGCCCCGCGCGTGTCAACACCGGCGCCGCGCGGACGGGAGACCGCTGCCCCGCAACCCCCCCCCCCCCCCCAGGCCGGCCGCCACGTGGACGGGAGAGATAGAGAGAGAGAGAGAGAGAGAGAGAGAGAGAGAGAGAGAGAGAGAGAGAGAGAGAGAGAGAAAGAGAGAGAGAGAGAGAGAGAGAGAGAGGGAGAGAGAGGGAGAGAGGCGATAACGTCTCGCGGAGCGTGAAATACAAGACGGTTCAGTTCGGCACGAACTCCGACCCGGCCAGAGGCGTGAGCACGACCACGCCGGTCCCGCCGCGTGCACGGCCAACAGCGCGGACCCGGGCGACAGTTCCGCACTGACTCCTGCAATACGACCCAAGTCGGTGATTGCATAGCCCCCCCCCCCCGGCCAGCGCCACCGCGCGCGCGCCACGCAATCCGACCCAAGTCGACGATTGCATAGCCTCCATCCAGCGCCACCGCGCGCGCGCCTTGCAAATCGACCCAAGTCGACGATTGCCTGCCTCCGTCCAGCGCCGCCGCGCGCGCGCCTTGCGATCCGACCCGAGTCGACGATTGCGTGCCTCCGCCAGCGCCACCCCGCGCGCCACCTTGCCACTCGGCCCCGTCCGCCGCTGACCTTGTTCCGCACTGACTCCTGCAAACCGACCCAAGTCGGCGATTGCATAGCCCCCCCCCCCGCCAGCGCCACCGCGCGCGCGCCATGCAATCCGACCCAAGTCGACGATTGCATAGCCTCCATCCGGCGCCGCCGCGCGCGCGCCTGCAATCCGACCCAAGTCGACAATTGCATCCGCCTTGCCATGCATATCGACCCAAGTCGACAGTTGCATGGCGCGCCAGCAATTCGACCCAAGTCGACAATTGCATAGCCTCCATCCAGCGCCGCCGCGCGCGCGCCTGCAACTCGACCCAAGTCGACAATTGCATCCGCCGCTTACCTTGCCATGCAATTCGACCCAAGTCGACAATTGCATAGCCTCCATCCAGCGCCGCCGCGCGCGCTCCTGCAATTCGACCCAAGTCGACAATTGCATCCGCCACTTACCTTGCCATGCAATTCGACCCAAGTCGACAATTGCATCCGCCACTTACCTTGCCATGCAATTCGACCCAAGTCGACAATTGCATAGCGCGCCAGCAATTCGACCCAAGTCGACAATTGCATGCCTCCATCCAGCGCCGCCGCGCGCGCTCCTGCAATTCGACCCAAGTCGACAATTGCCTCCGCCACTTACCTTGCCATGCAATTCGACCCAAGTCGACAATTGCATGGCGCGCCAGCAATTCGACCCAAGTCGACAATTGCATAGCCTCCATCCAGCGCCGCCGCGCGCGCGCGCCTGCAACTCGACCCAAGTCGACAATTGCATAGCCTCCGTCCAGCGCCGCCGCGCGCGCTCCTGCAATTCGACCCAAGTCGACAATTGCATCCGCCACTTACCTTGCCATGCAATTCGACCCAAGTCGACAATTGCATGGCGCGCCAGCAATTCGACCCTAGTCGACAATTGCAAAGCCTCCATCCAGCGCCGCCGCGCGCGCGCCTGCAACTCGACCCAAGGCGACAATTGCGTCCGCCGCTTACCTGCCATGCAATTCGACCCAAGTCGACAATTGCATAGCCTCCATCCAGCGCCGCCGCGCGCGCGCCCGCAATCCGACCCAAGCCGACAATTGCATGCCTCCCCAGCGCCACCGCGCGCGCCACCTGCGACTCGGCCCCAGCCGCCAGACCCCTGCAATCCGACCCAAGTCGGCGATGCATAGCCCCCCCCCCCGCCAGCGCCACCGCGCGAGCGCCATGCAATCCGACCCAAGTCGACGATTGCATAGCCTCCATCCAGCGCCGCTGCGCGCGCGCCTTGCAAGTCGACCCAAGTCGACAATTGCATAGCCTCCATCCCGCGCCGCCGCGCGCGCGCCTGCAAATCCGACCCACGTCGACAATTGTATGCCTCCGCCAGCGCCACCGCGCGCGCCACCTCGCAACTCGGCCCCGGCCGCCACTTGCCTTGCCCCCCCCCCCCCCTCCCCCGGCGCCCGCCGCCCCCCCCCCCCCCGGCGCCCGCGGCCTCCCTACCGCCGCGTACCCCCCTGCCCGCACCCGTGTTGCTTCCCCGCCCCGCAGCCTATCGCTGCGCCCACCTGCCACCGGTCATCCTGCTGTCCGCCACCTATCTCCATTGTCGTTGTCCTGTTGTTCGATCCACTAGGCCAAGTATCCGCCGTGCACACCGTGCAACACTCAACCGGCGTCTCCTAAGCCAGAGCACTGCTCTCCGCACTTCCATCACAAATATGGAGTAGGTCCCTGTGTCGCGCCGTCACTCCTCTCCTCTCGCGGTCGCGGCCGCTCCCCGACTGAGCTCCCCATGTTATTGCCCGCCCGTCGTGTTTGCGCGCGTCCGTCCCCCGGCTCAGTGCCGGCTGGTCGCGGCTGGAGCCCTCAACGGGTCTTATCGGCGGCGGCCGATAAGACGGTCATTATTTACCGCTTAGTCACTCAGCGATTGCTGTTATCTAAGAACTCACGAGGCCTGCGTTCCCCACTCTACTGATCACTGGGTCACCGACTTTGACCTTTGAGAACCGTAATTACTGAAACCTGGAGTTTGGCTGTGAGTTGTGATTAGTGAATGCATCTTCACATAAAACCTATTCGTTCACACGATATGTGTCCGGACATCCCATTTTTTCCTATTATCTAAGATATTATTTTTCGTGAAACGATAATCCATAAATTTATGCATAGGTACTTAAATCTTACTCACAGCCATTATCCTACTAAGATAATCCCTCTGAATCAAAGGTATCTACTGTTCGTTTGGTAGATCTTGTCATAACCTCTTCTCTGCGCCACCCTAACCTCTCCTGACTCTCACCCTGGCCTCTGCTGACCTCTACTCTGACCTCTGCTGACCTTGCCCTGACCTCTGCTGACCTTGCCCTGACCTCTGCTGACCTCTACCCTGACCTTTACCTCGACCCCGCCCTGACCTCTGCTGACTCACCGTGAACTCTGCTGACCTCTACCCTGACCTTTACCTCGACCCTGACTGACCTCTGCTGACCCTGCCATGACCTTTGCTGACCCCTACCCTGACCTCTGGCAGGTGGGTAAGCAGGAGATCGCCGGCCACCGCTGTGTGCTGGCCGGCAGCTCGCAGTACCTTCTGAAGTTGTTCGGTGACGAGCACCGCCAGCTTACCTGCGACGAGGCAGCCGTCAAGTCCAGCGCGCCGCGCCGCCAGGAGCCCGTCGTCTACAAGCTCAGCGACAAGCTGGATGGAGAGGCTACTGAAGCACTCGTCCAGTTCGCCTACACTGGAAAGTGAGTACCGGAAGAGAGTTGTACGGGGCCAACGAGGGACTAGGCATTTAGGCATTCCCGCCAGATCAGTTTGGTCCTTGCGTTCCTTTACATTCTAAGCTTCATTTATTGCTAGAAAGCTTTACCAGGTCATGTGTAGAGCCCTAGAGCTCCCCGCATCACTCAACAAAGCGAACCCGATGCCGCTCGATCGACTGGCTTCGGGCCCGGTCTGGGGCTGGGCTGTGGGTCGATCTCCGCTGTAGGCCATGTTAGATACCGCCCGGACCTGTCCGACCTGATCTCCGCCGGGTTATACGGGCGCGGCGGCTGCCTCGTTGTAGCCGATAGTGACCGGCTCTCATGGGCCATTGGAGGCGGCAACAGACGGCCGCGCCGTCCAGGTCAACGACCCTGTGGTGCCCGGCGCGGCGGCTGCGCCCTCTCTCTATGCCCCGCGGCGGTGCAGGTCGCCGCCACCTCTCACCCAGCCGAGAGAAACTACCCCGGGCCGCCCCAGCTCCGGGCCGGTCGCCGGCGGGCGGCCTCTGTCGCTAGGCGGGTCTCGTAATACGAGGGAGCTTACACCGGCCGTTTGATACTGAAGTATCGACGTCGCTAACCGGTGGCCATCACGCCTGTCCTCGTACAAGTGGGGGTCCCAATTCTCTGACAGGAAAATCAAACGAGAACCATTTCCAAACTCGGGATTACATATAATTATTCAGGTCATGGCAGCGTATTGCGAAATGGTGGCAGTATTAGTTCAATGAGGACCATAACTCATGAGTTTAGTAATTATGCCACACAGCTGAAGCTGCCGTCGCCAGCAGACCTGGCTGGCCGTTATTGTTCATGGCACGATATACGAGTTCACGTGTGCCGGGCCGGCCACAGACGCGGACCAGCGCCATATTTGGCTGGCGACGACCGTGTGCCAGTTTTGTGGCGACTGCGCGGGCGAGCCGGACCGGAGGGCGCGTTACCAGGCGCGCCGCGGTGTCATGGTAGCGAGGTCCATGAGTCTGGGACGCGCCGGTCGGGTCAGAGGAGCGGGCCGTCAAGGCCACTCTCTGCTGGGTACACAGAACGACAGGCCGGGGTGAGGGGAGCCGTCAGGTTTCGGGCAACACGGCGATATGATCAGCCAACATGCAATCAGTGTGTACGCTCGGAGCAGCCTCAGTCGCCCTACTCCGATCTCATCTTTCCTCGAACACACACCCCTTTTTTCGTCCATCCAGCCCTGTCCCGCACCTTGTCCCCTCTCTCCCCTGTCCCCGCCCCGCCTCCGTGTCCCCTGCTGTAACCCTATATCACTGTGCCGTGTCAGTTCGGCCAACTGCTGCAGCCAGACTTGTGCCGGGACCAAAAATCAAGATCCAGGATCCTCAAGGTCCCACGGCAAATTCAATTTTTAGAATCCAAGGTTTCCAAGGTCCAACGGCAAATTCAATTTCTAGAATCCAAGGTTTCCAAGGTCCCACGGCAAATTCAATTTCTAGAATCAAGGTTTCCAAGGTCCCACGGCAAATTCAATTTCTAGAATCCAAGGTTTCCAAGGTCCCACGGCAAATTCAATTTCTAGAATCCAAGGTTTCCAAGGTCCCATAGCAAGTATACTTTGCAGGGTCCACAGTCCCCAAGGTCCCACGACAAGAATGCATTGCAGGATCAACAGTCCCCAAGGTCCCATGACAAGAATGCATTGCAGGATCCACAGTCCGTAGGGTCCCACGACAAGTGTGAATTTCAGGATCCACAGTCCCCAAGGTCCCATGACAAGTACACACTTCAGAGTTCAGGGTCCACAGTCCTCAAGGTCCCACGGCAAGAATACATCTCAGCATCCAAAGTATTCAGGGTCCCACAACAAGAACTTAAACAAACTAACATTCTGATGAGCAGACTTACTTCTAAATATTCTGCCAATGGATGCCCAGCAACATTTAAAGGGGCAGAACCTACGCAAACCTGTGGACTGTGGTGGTTTTATCGTTAACCAACATAGGTAGGGGGAGCTTCAACACAAGTTAAAAATGAATCATAATATCAATCTCTCCTTCTTTAACCTGACAAATTCGAAAAAATATAGGTAGGTAATAGGTACCTTGCAATTTGTATTGTCATGTCCCTTTCAATTCAATCTTACCTTATCAGTAGGAATGTAGGATAGCACCTTACAGTTATTGAAGACAGACATTCAAGTATTCTTTCAGGCAATATAAAAAACCAGAAATAAAACCTACAGGCTTCATAGAAATGGAAAAGTTGAATTGGATAGGTATATGCTTTCGATTTTCTGCACGTTCAGTTACATAATACCTAGGATAAAAAGTAAAATATGTTCTAAGTCTTGTTTGCGCGAGCGCTCACAGAAAAACTGATCGACTAAGCCAATAGAATTAGAGTATCAGCGAGCGCAAACCTTACTTACTGTTCATTCACATTAGATTGAAGGCTCTGAACAAAATTCCATCTGACAATTTTTTCGTCAGCCGGTTATTCGTCGGCAGATTTTCGTCTGACTTTTTCGTCTGACTTTTTCGTCTTGCATTTTTTCGTCTGTTCGAATTAATTTGGTGCATTTTTCGTCTGAGTATTTTTCTGTCCGGCATTTTTTCGTCTGGACGAGGCGGAAAATGTCCTTTTGAAAATAATGCGCGGACTTAAAAATGCACAGACGAACAAATGCATAGACGAAAGTCTGCGGACGAAAATCTGCAGACGAAAAATTGTCCGACGAAAACCTGCTAAACGAAAAAGTTGAACTGTCATGGAATGATTGCTTATATTGCTCATTGCTCAATGGTGATTTGATGAATTGCAAAACAAATACCTAAGTTTGACACTTACTTGGTCAGTGGGTAGCTTCCATGTAGCTTCAAGCCCGGCATATCACAACCCAGAAAATATGTGAGGTGAGATTAGAAAAGAACTTTCCAAACCACCACTGTCCACTGTTTGACAGTTTCATAATCCATAACATTGATAATGTAAAAAGCTACCAGGTCTCTTGTTCCAGTTCTGCCTCACAACCATGGCAATGATTTTGCTCTATATATGTCTACACAGTCTGGTTCGTTTTCTCTTCGTGTAGCTATCTAGCCCCTTGCAGCTGGTCGCTCAACCATAGATATTTATTGAAGTGCTTACAGACAAAACCTAGTGCAGGGTCCTTAGTGGCCCATGTGCAACATAAACCTCATGGTCCAGCTTCCAGGATTCTTGAGGTCCCTCAACAAAATGGTGGTGTAGGTCTAGACCGTTCTCCTAAGATCCCATGACAAATAATAAAACTGGTACTGAAGGTAGGCATTCTGCAGGGTCTTGCAGCATAGGTACCAAAATTTTGAGGTCCTAACCCCTGGGTTTCCATGGTTTTATGGCATATGAAATGTTGAGGTCCTGGGTTTCTAAGGTCTCATGTCACATGAAATGTTGATGTCCTGGGATTCCAAGGTCTCACGGCATATGCAAATGTTGAGGTCCTGGGATTCCAAGGTCTCGCGACATATGCAAATGTTGAGGTCCTGGGATTCCAAGGTCTCGCGGCATATGGATGTTTTAAGGTCCTGGGATTCCAAGGTCTCGCGGCATATGGATGTTTTAAGGTCCTGGGTTTCCAAGGTCTCGCGACAAAAATGACAATGCAAGGTCCAGGATCCATCAAGGTCCCAGACCTTGGACTCTGCGAACCCTGGATCTCGGATCTTATTGGGACCTTGGCACAAGTCTGGCTGCAGCTGTGCATCAACGGCCCAGCTCTACTCTGCACAGTGCCCGTTGTAGTGTATGTGTATGTAGGTAATCATGGGGTAAGCCCACCCCACCGCACTGGACATGGGTACGATTCAGCGTTCACGCGCTCTCTCCGTGACGGACTTATCGTAAACACAGACCGGCGCACAGCGGATAGGGGCGGTGTGAACGACCCCTAACCGGCGCCCGGTGACTGCGTGATGTCATATCACCAGACGGTGGCGGTTATCGGTCGCAGATGGCGCACATAGGTCACGGGGCACACCCCTTTCTGACTCCAGACGGGCGGTGTTTCCATGTGAGCAGACGCTACCGTGGGCTGCACGCATGATTTCAGGAAGCGGTGATACAGCAGCATGCGGGCATTTTCGCTCTCTAAATCTGTTTTGGCCCGCATACTGGGTTCGTTGTGATGACATAAGCCACTGCCATCCCCCTGCATCTATTCTACTAGCACACACATGCGTAGCACACCCGCTGTTGGTTTGATTCAGGCCACATGTGTTGGCCCGCCGAGTGGCGGCCTTGGGACCGAGTGGAACGACAACGTCAGTCCGCAGGTGGTCGCGCCCTGTCGGTGATCGCCGCGTGGTGGCATATCGACCACACCGAACTGCCTCCGCGTGCGGTCGGCCGCCTGCCGCCGTCCGCCTGCCGCGCTGTCCAACCTTCGTCGTCCGCCCACTGCTTTACATATTGAAATCTACAACTGCGCCATCCGCCTTCATTCTGTCCGCCTTCCATCTTTTGCCTACAGCCGTCGCCTCCCACCGTCCTTTTTGCCATCTTATTTTGCCCATCCGCGCCCTCCACAATCAGCATGCCATTTTCCCTTTCCCGTTCGATCCACTCCTCCCGCCTTCTGCCATCCGCCTGATGTGCACATGTTCTATCAGACTGCCTTCGTTGGTCCACCCTCCAGAACCCTTCTGTGCGACTCACATCCGTTTTCACCGGCTGTTTCGCTTATATCTCTCAGGTTTTCCGACAGAATAACCAAAGGGGCTCAGAGGTCTTCTTCGGTAATAATTAGGTTTATCATCAGAAACCTTACATAACCAGACCCCGCAGTGATTATTATTCCAGATAACGGTCACGTCTTCT